TATAGAGTGTGTTTGGTTGATTACGTGTATAGAAAGGTAAGTAAAGTCAAAAGTTTAGTTATATTTTTATATTTGTATATATTGTAATAGAAGACTGTATAGAAGAAGGTGAGGGATAATACGCAATAATGAACGCGGATTGCTCGGGTAGCCGGCAGTGATATGCCGAATGTGACTGAAGGTCAACAGCGAAGATTTTATACACTGTTGTTTTCTTTTTATTAATTTTTGAAAGAATTGCGTTAAAAATATTTTTGGTGGCATAATGGAAGCCGATAGCACGTAGAAAGGAAGTAAATAAATGAAAGTTTATAAATATGAATTATATAAATTTAAAACAATAGACTACAAGATTACTTCAATTTCTAGACCTCATATTATGATCTATAGCATAGCTAAAATGCCTACTTTGAAACATCAAAACAGAATTATTCATAATGTCCAAAATAACTGATTTAAATCCAATTAACTAAACGGAAGCTGATAATAAAGAAAAATATATTTCAGGTATTTCATATACTGATCTATGGACCAGCCCTCACTACATACTTATATTCATACCAGAATAAGATTTCAAAAATTGGCTTGTTTCACTCTTGGCCCCCAAAATAATGTAATTTTTTAGGATGAAATCCGAAAATGGGAAAATGTTATGGCTTCAAATGACCAATATTTTGAGAAATACTATTTTGAATAATAATAGGATTTTCTTTATGGATTATATCGGTCTACGGGTTTCATTGCCCTTTTAAATTCTACAAAACCTCTAGAATATTGTTCTAAATTTTCAAGTTGATCCGAATAATACTTTCGGGGATACAGATTTGTCTAGCTAGGCTTAATGCGCCTTAAACGCGCTTTTCTTGAAACTGTGTTTATGAAGTCGCTTGGCAAGATTTCTCGAGAACTATTCAACCGATCTTCTTGAAATTTTACACAGATATTTGAGCTGCAATTCTTAAGGACTTTGATTAAGAATTTTTTTGCAATAACTGTTTGAAAAAAGTATTTGCCGCGAAATTTTCACTGAAATTTTTTCCCTTTAGATGATCCTGTAAGGAGTTATTACAACAAACCAAACCGCACAAATACAGTTATAGACAAAACATATATTAACATTATTATTAAATATTAATAACCCAAATTTATTTATGAGTATCAATTAAATAAAAATAAAATAATTATGCGACAAAAAAATTTAAAAAAATTAAATCAGTACAAATCTCAAATAAGAGAACTCTGCTAATCACATAAAGAATTCTAAATAGTTCTTAACCGTAAATCTATAGAAAAATTAACAAAGAAAAAATACAACAATTGAATGCTAATAGAACGCCAATAATTTCAACAACTATTTTTTCTACAAATCTACCTTATATGTACATATATAATACGAGTATGTATATATATATATATTATTGCTGTGTTCTCCCACAATTGCGCATATAAATAGAGCAGACATTTGCTGCTAAAAGACATTCACAACACAACCAGCATTCTGCTAAGAGCAATCCAAACGCAATCAACTAACTAACAAAATGTTCAAGCTTGTAAGTAAATGTTAACTAATAGCATTATTATTACTTTTTTGCTTTAAATTACAACAGTGTTACGTAAGCATTTAATCCTGCGCCACTTAGCAATTCAATAATCCGCGAATGGAACAATTATCTTAGTACAACCGAGTAGTATTACTAATAACCCTCTTCTCTGCCTCTTACAGTTCGTTGTCCTTTTCGCTGCCCTCTTCGCCTTCGCCGCCGCCGGTCCATCACCAGTCGCACGTCCAGCACCACTGCCAGTGGCCAGCCCTTATCCAGCGGCAGCACCAGCACCAGTACCACAATTCTATTATGGTGGCTATGCCTCGCCCTACTCCTACGCCTACTCTGGCTACCCATACTACGGTTAAACAGCATCGTAGCGGATAGTTCTCCGGCCATTGTGTGTGGAGTGTATGCGTACAACTATGTACCTATGTAAGTGAGCGTAAGTGAGCTGTGGGATTAGCGAAATTCATACGGAAATTATAGAAAGGATTATACTAGTACTAGGCGCTCAAGCAGCGACTCGACTCGGTTGCATTTTCCCACTGGTCACAATATATGCTATTATTAATTCACTTAGTGTTAAGCTACACACGTTGGCGGATGGACTAGAGGACTAATTGCTCGATTGTTAATGGACCAGGGATAATGGATTTCGGATAATGCACTTTGGCAAATATTAATTAGTTTTAGTCTTGATTTAAATATGCTGTTGTTTGTTTGTCATTGGAATATTCATTTGACAACAAATATGTCCTGATATTAAATTGTTAAAATAATAAAGAAATAAAAATAAATAAATAGAAAATTTTGCAAATATATATAAACGATTTTTTCTTCATGAAAATATGTAAAGCAATGGAACGCAGTCGAACATGACTTATTCAAAAACAAATATACTGTAGTGAGACGTAATAGGTAACCATAAGCGGTATTGCTTAAGGGGTATTCTAATCTGGAAATAAAACTTTGTTTTATTACATTTTCAAAGTTTAACTATTCTAAAATATTTCTATAAGAGAATTTCAAATGTCAAACTTTCCAATCGTTAATTTCTAATCTTAAATTTTGTTGGTTTCAAATCGCAAAGAGTGTTTAAATCGTGGGAATAATTATGAACAAATTTTTTCAGACCCACCACTTTATCAGCTGATGGTTTTTGATATTATATTTTTAACTTCTTTATTATTTATTGGGAGATAATGCTGTATTAGTTCGTTTAGCACAACAATGGCTCGCTCGCTCCCATCTTTCGATGTGAAAGATATACCTCGCTCTGGTCGATCTATCGTTAAAAAAGTCGATGAAATTATGGAAAAGATTAACCAGGCCGTCACATAAGCAACCATGACATCGGTAAGGAACTTAACATTCATTATCAAATGGTTTTGAATCATTTAAAAAAAAGGCTGGATACAAAAGCAGCTCGATTTTTGGGTCCCAAATAAATTGTGTTTGAAGCCTATTATTCTAATTCAGTTAGCTCACTGAAGAACCAAAGAACGTGACCTAATAAAAGTCAATCGGACAGGATGAATTAAATTCGGAAAGTTTTTGTTCAAAAGTTAGCACATGTACATATGTAAGAACCAGTAATTGTGATAAAGTCGATTCCAATACAATTTCGCGCACTAGGAAATTGTGAGAAATGACATTCTTTTAGAAGTAGTCGTGGCTTTATGCCAAGTGTATCCACTTTCAAAGTATTATGAGACGGAAAACAAGTCTGATTAACGAAAATTTGGTTCAAACGCTCGAGTAGTCTGTAAGATTAACCTTAAAGTAAGCAGTATCTCGCTCGGAATTATATTTGTAAAATAAATTATATGAAAAATTCTGATGTATGCCCTAAAGTTTGGAAACGTCCTATATAAAGTATATACACATAAGTATAAATGATCAGCGTCACGAATTCGGTCGATTTACTCTATTTCCTATTGGTCTGTTTGTCTATATATCAGTCTATATATATGCAAACTAGTCCCTAAATTTTTGAGATACAGATCTGAAATGTTTTCTACCAAAGAAGTTGTCCATTGTTCGATATCAGATCACTAGAGGATATAGTAGAGTTGATCAAACTTATTGATCAAAATAAAATCCTTGTATGGTAAAGTTTTTTTATTTCACAAGATATCTTCCCGAACTTTGACATGTATTATTGTCTATGGCAACTGTACAATCTTCGAATAAATTAATTTGACTGACGCCTATCAGCCTTAAACTAAAACTATATCATTTCACGAAGAAGATTTTATTCTAGTAATATATTTTTTATATATTTAATATACATATTTTAGGCACATTAATAGTGCAATAAGTTAATAATAAACATTTCAGAACGGCTTTTGAAATGCGAAAATAACAATTTTAGATGTTACATTGCAAAAATTTAAGGATACACCATGATCTAAGCTTAAAAAGCTTTTATTATCCCGTACTCAGGAATTTTTAAATCTAAATGTTAAAGAATTAAACTAATAGTTCATTTTGAGGTAATAACCTTGCCATAAAGCTAAATGAAAAACGTCAATACATAACGGTGTCTAACGGTTCCATGGTGTAGTGGTTAGCACTCAGGACTCTGAATCCTGCGACCCGAGTTCAAATCTCGGTGGAACCTGCAAATACCCTGAGATTTATTTTAATTTACAGTACAAATTATTTAAGCTGACCCAATTGTGCCTTCGATATGTATACTTTATCTAAATAATGCAATTTCTGTCTTGATTTACTGATAAATATAGATCCCAACAAAAATGAGAGATGCAAAATTTCATAGTGAAAGATTTCTAATGTTATTTAAAAATATTCAATGATTGCTTATACTTGAATTACTTGATTTGTTAAAAGGCTCTTCCTAAAAGTTATGTGTTATTGCTTTTTGATTCTAAAATTTTGGATTTTGGATAAAATTTTGCACCCTGCAATTGCCATATATTTAATTTTTCAGTCATAAAATTGCATACAATTTTATAGAATAATTTCCAATATTCATACTGTTGAATTAATACTCTTTTAAACGAGACTTGGAAAAGAATCTGAAAGAGTGGTCACTTAAGGCGTGTGTGTCATTGCAATAAAGCCCAGTCGAATCTAGGCAAGTTGGCTAACATATTAGTTCTTCGCACACTACCTCATTTGTCGTCACTTCTGGCTCTATTAGACTTCAAAACTGACAGGTAAGGGAGCTGCTTTTGAAAGTAGACATGAAATGTTCTTTGAAACTTACATTTAAACGTTTAGTAGATCACACTTATACTGCAATTCAAGAATGGCTAAATATGACGGGCTGCCTTCTTGAAAATCTTGAAGGTTATTCAAATTGCGAAGTTCCTGAAGGTTGGTAATGATATTCTATCACATTCTTCCTTAAACAGGGAATGATAACCAAACCAATAAATTATTTGAAAACTAATTTTGCAAGAATCTAGCAAGATAAGATGTTTGTAAGGTTCCATCGTATAGCGGTTAGCGCTCAGGACTCTGAATCCTGTGGCTCGAGTTCAAATCTCGGTGGAACTTTGAAAATCGAGGGTATTTATTTTGAAAGTTTAGTTAAGAGGGTTTCGAGTTGAATTCTGTTAAATTATGAAATTTATTGACCGCTTGGTGAAGCGGTGTCACACGTGCTGCTGCACCGCGGACTATCGTTAGCGCGTTTTTCTTAAAACTACGTTTTCCGAGTTGGTTGAAGTCCTAGAGGCTGCAAAAAATGAGCAGTCGCTATTAAGTTGTTTACAAATTTTCATGTATCCTTGTGTATCCTTACTATAATTTGCAATAAACATTAAAAAGTGTTCATTTCAAAAATAATTCGTAACATAAAAGTGCCAAAAATCGATTGTTTATATTTTTTCCTTCGTTCTAGTACCACTGATGCAGAAAAGTGTACAGATTAAGAAAATATGTTGTGCGTATAATATTTTATTTACAGGCAATAAGACTTCCACTATAAGTTCGAGTTTAGTACGTGGAATCTTTCCAAAATGAAATCGGTCATCGGAAATGATATAACACTATTTTTAATTCCATTTGATTTTTTCACTTTCCAGTACATAAATGAAGAAGTAAATAATATAATGAAATAAAATTATATACTAATAATTCCGTTAGAATATGACACAAAAAATTTTCCAAGTCCAAAAAAAACCGAACTATGGAAATATGGATCCCATTATCTATAGTCCGAAAACATCGCTCAAGGTATGTGATATAATATTGGAATTCAGAGAAAATTCCTTCATGGCAGCTCTGTGTATTAAAAACGGCCTGAATCAAGTCAGTACTTTCCTGATCTTCATATACCTAATATAAAGATTTTCGAACTTGTGGCTATTTTTGAGTTATCTTAATGAAAATTAAAGAGCTTGTTTTACTCATAACCGTGTGCCTATAATAAATTTTCTGTAAACTTAGAACTATAAAAACCGAGATAAACCTTTTTAATTCTTAAAAAATCACTCCTTCCTCTTCCTGACCTAAGGTAACAAATAAATTAGTTTTCCTTTAATTTTCGCCATTTTATCTTTGGTTTGCAATTCAACCTACTCTGAAATTCTTGAATTTATAAACCATTCTCAAAGGTTACATAACAGAATTAAATATTTTCTTACCATCTGAGTGCAAGAGAGATTTTTTTTCGATTTTTAATGATTTGCATTTATTTAAACCATAAGCAAATGCAACTGCCATCTTTTGAGCAAAAATTGCGGTTTGTATTTTGGCGTTATAAATTTATCACGGTTCCATGGTGTAGTGGTTAGCACTCAGGACTCTGAATCCTGCGACCCGAGTTCAAATCTCGGTGGAACCTTTGCACAACAATATGAATTGAATTTTTTTTTTTATTTTATGGATCAGACTATGAATACAAAAAGTAATCATTTTTTGCTCTTATATTCTTAGATGGGAATCGAAAATGAACAATTTGTATATAGAAATAAATTTGCCATTTTATGATAAATATGTAATAATGTTGCCAGGTTGTTTACATTTTATTTATCAGCAAGAACGGAAAAATTGGAATTACTACGTGAATTGAGGTTTGCGACTTTGCTAAGTGTTCACAGTGTTGTTAACACTCCTTGTTGGTGAGAGTAGGGCGGAAATTCAGCCGGTTTTTTTAATTTCAAATATTTTTAGAAAATACATTTTATTGTTTTTGTTTAATCTACCATATTTAAATTGTTAATATTATTAATTTTATATTTTTTTATAAATATTTTTGGAAAATGAATTTCGTTAATCGTTTCATTTCGTTAATAATAATAATTTTTATTAATTCGGAAGGTTTTAATATATTGTATGCGTTTTTAATGCATTTTTTACATAATTCGTATTAATTTCAAATATAAATAATCGTAGTGTTCAGCCCGCGGGTAATTTGAGATTTACAGCAACACTGTTTGTGCTAAAAATAAACTATGAAAGCTTTTATCAGTTCTACCATATAGATTTACTTTATTTCAATAATTTCCATTCATTTTAAACGCCTGTTATTTACTTTACGATAGTAATATACTATTTATTTACACTAAAGTAATCCCGTTCAATGTTTGTGCTGATAATATAATTAATTTGTCAATAAAAACTATTCTTCTGTTGTTTGGGTCATTTAAAAGCAACAACAAAAATTCGAGCAGCCAAAAGTTAATAACTTGACAGCCAGCTCACGTTGACGTTTGACTTGTAATTTCTCAGCTGCGCTCTTTTTTCTTCTCCAAAAACCGCACATGCTAATAGATTTTTTGCTTTTGTTTTGATTCGAGCTGTAAACGCTTCCCGTTCATCAACACCCATACTCCTCATGTGCTAATACAATGTTGACCAAAAGTAAGCACTCACCCACTCAGTACTAATGTGTAGAGCGGAAAGTCAGCAGACGCCGACGAGAGGTGCATGTGACAGGCAAAAAGTAAATTAAGCATTCACTTCCCCGATTTCAGTGGCCTCTGTGAGTTGTGCGTGAGTGAAATATTTCGCTGGTTTTGCCAGTGAATTCCCTAGTAAAATTGAAAAAAGAAAGAAGCAAAAATTCTACATATGCAAATTATAAATATTACTTTTGACGTTTTCATGGATAAACCTATAATTATATCTAAAAATAAACGCTGCACAGCTGGAGAAATAACGGCGAGAATTGCAGGCGTGGGTGTGTGACCGCGACTGTGTCGAGTATACGAGAGTCCGTTGCTCACTCACTTCTGTTGCATTAAAATTTAATTGCTGTGCACTATCAGGTGCAAAGTACCAACGCATATGTGATTTGCAAATAATTGTGAATTTTTTATTATAACGTGGTGTTGTTGTGTGGTTAGCAGTTAGTCTTTTCTGCAGCCATATTTACAGTTATGTCAAAACGTTTGATGAAGTTACTTGTGGCCCTTGTCCTTACATTGATGTTCACCATTTCGCTGCTGAAATTAGTGCTATTGTTGTGGAGCAGCTATCCGACATGGTTATATGCGGACATCGCATCGCCCAACGAGCCCAACACGGTGGATGAATGGCTGGAGCAACAGCAGTTGTCGCAGTACAAACAACTCTTCCGGGACAAAGGTAAGTTTCTAGTGGTATGTGTGGGAGAGTGTATGTGCGTGTGTGTGGAAACGGAACTGCATATTGTTTTGTTTATTGTTCGCCTTATACCGCGCTTTTCCCCTCACCATATTTTCGGTTCTATTTTGCTTTGCAAATTTGTTTTCATTTACTTTCGACAATTTCGCGATTATGTTATTTCGTGTACGCTCAAATTCAAATGAGCGCAGAGCGTCGATTTCCGACGCACTCTCAATCAAACTCAGTTGGCGGTGTTGCCATATTGTTTGGAAGTAAGTGAATAGTGAAACTTTTATATCATATGTTTTATACACTGAATACAAATTGTTGTTTTGAATATTTGGTGGAAGAAAAACATACATGTGTCTTTTTTTATTGAAAGTTAAATATTATATTATAAATATGTATATCATATTAATTTATTTCAATATTATTTAAATTTTTTTGGAAATTAAAATAAATGAATCTCTGATTTCAAGTAATCGTCGCCGATATAATTTGTTTTGAAACAGGAGAAATTTGAGCTCTGTCATCCGAAAGCGTCTATCCGAGGCATTCTATGGCTATTGAAATTTTCTTAGGAAAGGAAAATGCAGAAATCTTTTGTTATTTATTTATTTTTATTTTTTTCAAGTAAAAGTCTGCCAATTCTAAACATACGAAGAGTGATGGAAAACGCATGCATTGTTTACACGACGATCTCGACAGAGGCGTGGTAAATAAAGTCAAAACCCGATGGAACGAGCTACCTGGGTGCAAAACTGCAAAAGTCATGTGCCAAATGGTAGATCGGAAGTACACAATATTCCTATTGGCACTAGATAGAAGAGGCTTTAGGAACATGATGGGAATGCTAACTGGTCACTGTCTGGTGGCGACACACGCCCGCTGAATAGGGCTGCCAAAAAAAAGACTGTAGGAAATCTCTAGAGCAGAGCACCAGGGAAATAATGGCACAACTTGTACACTTGTCCCAAATTGGCAAGACTACGCTGTAAGTTTTTGTGGTCTCCACGGTATGATACACTGGAAGAGGTTTTGGATAGCGATACCGCAGATTCCGTTAAAATTCGCGTCAAGCACAGGTATCCTAAAGGATGACTATTACTCTTGGATCTATCAGCTTAGCTCCATCTGGCAACGCAAAGGACCAAAACTGATCTATGGATGGATTACTAGCCCACCAGATTAAAATAATCTAAAAGCCCGAATATTTAACAAACACTTGATGTTTGGCCCTATACTACTTTGAAGACCTGTATCTGTATCCCCCAAAATACACTATAAAATTAAACAAGTGATATCTTTAAAATCGATCAAAAATTTGGAAGTATTATATTGCTTTTATAAAAACTGTTAACTCTATTCACTGGATTTTAACAATTAGTAATGAGAGCAATAAGAAATGAATAATTTTGTTTTAATAATTACTATGCTTTGTGACATATGAAATTTTAACCGATTACATTGATTATTCTTCACATCTATGAATTTTAACCGTTTATATTGATTATTCTTCACATCTATGAATGTAGTAATTATATACATATACCCACACTTAATTTTCATATTCATTCATTCTCCTACTAATTCTGTTTTCATTAACGGCATTAGCACACGCATGATTAATAGAATTTAAATTAGGCACTCCCAAAAATTGACTCTTGCGGCCCAAACTATGAAGTCATGCCGATAGTATGAAGAGACAATGATGTAGTATAATACACAGTTCTAAAATAGGTGTCTATTTCATAGCCAACGAATATTTATATAATTATTGAAATTTAAAAATATTCAGAAATTTTTTTACAAATAGAAATTTAAAAAAAAAACCAAAATATAGCATTTAAATTATTTAACAAAAAAAATTTCAAAAAAACCTTTCTTAGGTTCCACCGAGATTTGAACTCGGATCGCAGGATTCAGAGTCCTGAGTGCTAACCATTACACCATGGAACCACATA